TGAGAATATATAACCACCCCATTCGAACAAAACTTTGTCATGTGTATAAAACCTAACCTCCTTAACTCGGAATGATGGGCACAGTTCCATCACATAGAAGTCCACATGGGACCAAGTGGACTACAAACGATGGGGTCTGTCCATCGTTTGTGTACTGTACTTAGGGAGAAGATCACATCTAGTGTACTTATCCTGTCGGCAGAAGACTCATAACTTGCGAGTATTTACCCCTTTGCTCCTAACTTTAACCCCAGGCAACTGCGCGCCGCAAACTGCTGCATGTTTCTGAAGACGAAAAAATCCAGCTGTAAGACAGCAGCCTTCGAACTGCAAGGACCTAAATACAGCCTAATAAAAGATGTATGTCTTCTCATTGTTGGATCTAGTTCTTAATTACGAATCTAACACCGCACAGGTCTGGGACTCTGATCGATCCGTTGGGATCAAAACAGCACGTGCAACCTTTCGCAAGATAGGCAGTGTTTCCTCTCTGGAGAGGAACACCTGTACCGGTCCAGTGAGGCCATACGGGAATAGCAGCATCCTATAGGAGGTCCAGTGCTGACATGTTCTTATATTTATGATTGTTTTCAGTTGTTCCTCGGACCACAGTTTGTGTTTAAAAGAGCCGTACTTCATCTGGACCTAGATGAGAAACCACTTGTTTTATTTGTACAGAGCTGTGTTGTAAGTGTACTTGGAGGGCCCTCGGCAGTCTACTACCTATAGAGGAACCCAGTGGTATTTCGAAATGAAATCCTAGTTGGCAGATTGACGGAAAACGGACGTCGAGAAAGTATATATTATAATTTTGAAACATCGCCAGTGCGTGGATGCCATATGTAAGCAAGTTTAGGACAATATCATCACGTTGCAGATTACAGAAGTGTGGCAACGTTATTGTACAGCACTGCATATACGGTAGTAATCAGAAAAAACCAATTCTAACTCATTGCTGTTATCGTCTTATCAATCGTCATCGCCTTAGTGATTGTTCTGAACTGTATGCATCTTGATATATGAATCTGAAATCACTGAAGTCGCAACTTACTGTACACTCGAGGCAGAGTAAGATAGAACCCAGGTGAATTCTTCTGGCTAAAAGGTTGTCTTCGCAGTGGGGCAGTGCTGCACAGAAAGAAGCCTGGCTTTCTTGCCCTTCACGTTGGCGAAAGCAAACAAAGGAGCCAGCGGACAATGCCGTATACACACACTATCGAACTAAGAGCGGGCGGCAGTATAGGAAGCATGTGGTCGGCACCTGTTTTAGGATGAGATTGCATCAAATATGGAGAACATGGATTCCGGAAGGGCTTTTCCTCATTGGGTTTCTCGAGAAGGATCAAAAGGTCGAAATAGATATCCGAAAAAGTGTAACTATAAGATATTCTCAACTTCACGAATATATTTATTTATCTAATGTGAGATGTGTCAACTTGAGATACGGTCCATTTTCCCGTGGATGATAGTTTTAGACTAAGTCTTCAAATTCAGGAAGTCCAGACATAAGAACTTCCCTTTTTACAGATCATTTCACAGATCAATCGCAGGAACAAAGTATGACTGGGTATCGAGTCGATACTATCGACTGTGGCTATGAGGAACCGAGAAACGGGATGTTTGGAATTCGCAGGCATTCTTTTTTACTAACTGTCAAAGCGTATAAGCGCCGACATCACACACAACAATCATTGCACTTACCAACAAGACGAAGTCTTCCTCGTCTGACTGTTTCAAAACTACGTAGCTCCCAGTCTCTCTAGTCTGTTCACAAGATTCCTTTGTTCAAGCTAAATATATATCACGTGGTTCCCTGCAAGAGAAGCACCCGGCAGATCCACCACCGGGAGCTTCTCTTGCAGGTAAAGCACAATAAGACATATTTGTGTAAAAAATGGGAAGGTAACTGAAGATTTGTTGGATAGTCTTTTTGCAAAAAGCCTCCTAAACTCGTCAATATTCTCTCTGTAGCCAAGAACATGCGATATTGCAGTGTGCCTGTCTTCTAGACAAGACTACTTAGGTGTACTTCCGACAAGGGTCGCTTGACATAATTCTTAGTCTCACCCCAAGTGGTGATACCGGAAGTGAACTATGCACAGAAAGGAACGAAACGGATGGGAATATCACATCAAGTAAATGGATGAAACCAAACATGTTACATGGGGTTAGGTCCACTGCACATTAATTGTCTCCAAGGAAGTTCAAAGCACATAGAAACATGACCCAGAGAGAAACTGGAACTTCTGCGTGGTAAATTACAGGATCTGCGGGAGCCACAGTAAAAACCCAAAAGGATATGAAGATGGAACACATCGAGTTCATGCCAAGTAAATGGGAAATATGAAAGATGGAGAGCGAATGAAGGGATTTGGTCTCCAAACACCTTAGTTTAGTCGTGATATTTCTAGGTATGCCATGTGTAAACACACATCGCATGCACTGCATGTCTTAACAAGGATGCATACCGTATTTCCTAGAGGGCAAATGAGAGAAAAAGTGCGATTCGAGAAATTTTAGACTTCGAACTTCCATATTCTCGATAGGATAGCAAATTTGTCAAATCTATGAAATTACCATGAATGAATTTCTTCCATTATAACATGCACGGATTCTATAAAAGCGTTTTAACCGGACACGGTTATGGCAGTTGCCACAAGGCTTGCCATATATGCTGATTTGTGACCTAAAAAATATTTAATGAGAAAAGAACCTATAAGTTGATAATCTTTTTTTGGATTGTTGATAACAGGTGCAAGTATATTCGCTGTCCACGTTTCTGAATGATCCCCATCTATCCTTTCAAATTAACATATATAGATATATAAACGGGGACAAAAATATGATACAAAGTGCAAAGACAGGTCCTCATAGACTAGAAGATCATCTCAAATTGTAGTCAGCTTATTTAGTTGTTAACTAGAAACACATTGTAGCCTTTGAGATTGATGATGATAATAAGCGCGACTTTTACATTGCCAGCCTACAACCTTACGGTTCTCCGTAAGGTTTTTAACCGGCCGACTACCTAACTTGAAGGTTAGCTCACAAGTCACCGTAGTCTAGGAGTTAACCTCGTGTAGCTGCTGAAATACTTGAGAGGACTCTATGGTTATGAATACCAGAAAACGTAATGCTCTCTTCACGACCAACCCTTGCATCCGTACGTACCCACGGCATATGAGTCCATGCCGTCAAAGGATGGGTGTCTACGGATTCAATCTCACGAGTACCTGGAGCCTAATGCTCCTCAGTGAAAGCTCAGAGAGCGAATCCTTCAGATTCTGGTTTTTCTAGGTCCTTGACCCCCAGGCCTCATTAAATCCACAGAGCGTTCTCTCCGTGTATTGGTCACTCCTGGGCTCCATTACAGCTATGTTCTAAATTTGACAGCGAGTTAAACGTCCACGGCTAACGGGTTGCCCTCCCAAGGTCCTACCATCTCTGCCTTCCCGTGAAGGTGAACGGTAAAACACCACAGAGGAGGTAAGGTCCTAGCCACCTAGGGTAGGCTAGTTGACCCGTTTAATCTCTATCCATACGTAGTTGACTATAGTTAAAAGCGACAGGAAGCTTCAGGAGGTCACTGAACGTCAACTCGGAAGTCAAAACCGAAGTCAGGTTAGCGTGCTGACTCATATTTGCAGCTGTAATTGCCAACGCTGACCACCGATGCACAAGAGGTCTGGCCAAGCCGCATTCGCTGCTGTCTTCTAGTCCATTGGATGGGAGTTCTGGCACATGAACTGATCCTACCACGTTGCACCGTTACTTCTACTTCCAGACTAACGTGGTTGCTTGCTTAAACAAGCAGCTAAGCTCCTCCAATTGTCAGGCGCAGTCCGTTTTATTCTCAAAAAAAGAGTTTATTGTCGATGTACTGTCATTTCGTAGTTGGAGGATCAGGGTCGTGACATCGACATAGTCCAGCATCGCTGTGGTGAATGCGAGAGGATCTCCTTTTCCTATCAAAAACACGCTGCGCTGTCTATCTGGATTTGGCTGCACCGGCTGTGCTGGATGGGCGAGTGGAAAGAGGAGTTGACATCACAAGACTTGGACAAGTTATTCCCTCGTTTGAAGTGCGAGGTGACTACTGGAAAATGGCTCCAATCAGAAAGCCAAAATACTTTGGATTCCTTATTACGTGGGCATATAAGTTTTTGATTATACTGAAACTCTAGGGTTGTTAAAAGAATAATATTGCTTAAAAATGACGTAGCCTGGAAAGACATAAAAGGAGGAGTCAACTGCCTGTCCCGTTCTACACCTGGGAATGGCATGTACAAAACTGCGATCCAACTCGAATCATGAGAACCTTAGAACTAAAACTCATGCATTGTGTAGCTCCTCCCAACAAACATGAAATATATATAAACGCCAGCAGTCAATCTTCAAGTGAGGTTTACTTAGAACTGACGGGGTAATGAAGACAGTGCAGATAAGATCAGACTTCTATTAATGTCGTGATTGTAAGCTTGAATGCCCCCTCACCTGTCTTCCCACTTCCACATTCGTCGAGTCTACCGAAACTGTCGGACTAGCCTGTCGCTCGACTCTGGACAGTTAGAATCAGCGGAGCTGTAAGTGATCGAACTCGCCATGAATCGAGGAAGCGCAGCCAGTGAAATGACCTAATTACTTCACAGGCCTAACGGATAGCCAGTCATCTGTACCTTCTCTCGACGAAGCGGTCCCAGCCCATCACAAAAGTCGCGATGACGATCGCGACTGGTGACGAAAAGCGGGGGAAAGCAACTGGACCCAACGGCGCGCCGTAGCTTTCCAGCCCCCCATACCGACGGCGTTACTGGTCAAGCTCAGCTTGTGTGAGGAGGAATACGGCAGCGTGCGTAGGCGGCTCCAGTCACGCTGCAGCCTCGTTTAGAAATAAAGAAAGGGGCCAAAGGAGGCGCCGAGGCAGCGATCCGGTTGCTCGGCGACAAAGTGTGCAGTGAAGCAGAGCAGCTCCAACTGGAACAGACTGCCTTGCACATCTTCCACTTGGCCTGGCCCGCCCCTTCGCTGCTGTTGACTACGAACGCGGGCAAATATTTATATTAAGAGATCTCGTCATTGGAGCCCCAGGCAGTTGTTGGTATACCAGACAGTGAGCGTGAAGCCTCGGAGCTAGTTTGTTCATTCTCCTCGAGCCCAGTTGAGGATTGCCCTGCACGGTTGTGGGTTGAGTTCGATCGCTCGTACTGGAGGCTGGGTGGGCATAGAGAAACAGAAACTGACCATATTGCGTCGCTGCAACTCTGAGTGTGCCGGAACTTGAGCTCATCAGGAACGATGTCGTCCACAGGCACTACTCTTTCAGCTTCCGAGGGTGACAAGGGGTTCAGAAATGGAGCGGCCCCAGCGAAATCTAAGTCTCACTCGACTATTGCTCTTCTTAGACTTTTGGCATTCGCAGCGACGCTATCGGCCTTCGTGACCATGATCACCAATAAGCAAAAGATTACCATCGGTCCTTTCACCAGGTGGTCGAAGTGGCACTACTCGGACGCGTTCATGTAAGTCCCTGCCACATGCAGGACACGTCCTTTCGCAGCTCTCGTCGTCTGAGCTTTGACTTCATTTCTGACCCCTGTCGATCAATTGGCTTGATATCGTTGGAAAAGATGCGCAACTATCTGGTTGCGACCTGCTCTTGTGCTGTTATTATCTAGCGTGTTTCAGAAAGGCTTAGTACCAGAGTCGTGTGTCTTCGATAGCGAGTCATGCACCCACCCTTCGAGAGCTGGAAGCTCTGCTGCGGAAGCTGGACGTTGTTGCGGCGAACCAGAGATAGCACCACTCTCTGAAGGACGAGGCTACCCAGTCAGATCGGTCTCAGTGAACAGATGACTTCCCACTCGACACTTTCCCGTCTTTATACACCGTTAAAGCCCTTGTGTAGTCTGGTCTGAACTCTTACGGGAGCTTGTCATAAGACAATCGAGGAATTTTCTCTGTCTACATGGAGATATAGGAGTTATTCAATTTCACGTGTCAGTGAAGAGGTCGGCAGTGTTGATGGTCGGCACGGCATGTTGCACGCATCCCATTCTGATCTGGAAGCCTTTTGACGAAAGGAAAATCACTGCGTTTGGACATTTGGGCTTTGAACTCGTACTGGAGTTGACGTGCCAAATTCTGTCCGACCTGACGGTGAATGTAGTGTGAGAGGAAACTTATGCCAGTCATGGGTATCGTTCCACTACCCGCTTCAGTATGTGCTCTGCCGGAGCGGCACCACCTCGAGAGTGCTGCCAGCTTGTCTTTGGAGTGCCCCGCATTCTAGAGTGTTATGTGATGCCTCGAATTTGCACTTCAGCGTAACGAGTGTTGTGTCTCTTGACTGTTCTGACCTGAACTTTAATTATCCTCTCTGTGCGTTCTGCAGGTGGTTTGTCGTTGCCAACTGCATTGCATTCATCTACTTGCTGTTCGCCGCGATTCTGGGGCTCATTTCTCACTCGCCTATGCTCGTCAAGCACCTCGTTATCCTCGACCTGGTAAAATTTCCTACCTAGCCTAATCGCAGGAACTTTCGTTGAAACTTGCACGACTGTATATGGTTAGAGTGTGTTCTCTTGTTGACTCCCTGGCCACATACGATCCCTGACATGTCCTGGGTACAGATTGTGTCGTACATGTTATTCTCAGCAGCTTCCGCTGCTACTGCTGTCGCCTACATTGGCAAGAACGGAATCTCTCAACCCGGCTGGACTGCAATCTGCGGCGTATTCGAGAGGTATTGCCACCACGTTGCCGGAGCTCTGGTGGCTTGCTTCTTGGGCTGGTTGTTCTTGACAATTGCTGTCTTTTTGGGCATGCGAAGGTCTCCAGCTGCCGTGTAAATGAGAGTTTGGACCTCGGGTAGTGCTTTCCCTTGAATCACATACAAGCGACAAAGTTGTGTTTGGACCCAATGGGACGTGTACAAGGGAAGGTCGTGACTACATCAGTGAGAAGAATCTCGAAATTAGAAAAAGTCGATTTTTCTTCGATCGGTCGTACTTCCTTAGAAAGGGAAGAGCAGAAATGATGAAAGGCGATAGAGGAAGAAGGGGTAAAGAATTCATGTACAGCTAGTTGACGTAGAGGTAGAGTTCATTGTTAGTAATCACCACCGCATTTTATCAATTGAAAACAAAATTATGGCTTTCATTTTTTACACAGCATGGTCAGCATTCCTGTGAATGCTTTTTTCCTGCGCGAATCCTGTCTCAGCCTCCCAAGGTTTTTGTGTGCGAGCTTGTAATGAGTTTGTGGAGTTTTCTAAAATGAGTGTCTGGTACTGTTTGCCATCTAAACCCTGGCACTGGTGAAAAAATATCGTGTACACATCGTGATTCAGAGTTACATTCGGACGAGAACTGTGAAGGAAAGTTCAACGACTCAGATTTTGAGTAACATCGATTCTCTCACATGATGAAATCGCAAGCAAAATTAATGACTATAACTTTACAATAACAACAGGAAGTGTTACAAAAATGTACGTAAAGGAAGTTGAAAACGATTCTGAACATGTAAGTAAATATGATAGTAATCCAATTGTACATGTAGCACTTAAATGTAGAATGGTGAATAAATGTTACTGTAACGTTGCAAAAAATTTTATTACCTTGGAGTCTGGATCAAATTTCGTCCAACCACCTTTGTTCTAAAACTGCATAACTTAGTCCTTTTAAACATCCCCATTTGGACAACTAATCACTTTTAAACTATGCTTAACTAACTTATTCAATCATTGACTTAAGTTAGTATTTGTGAGTACAAATTTCCTATCATGAATACCAGAAATCAACATTTATTCCAAATTTCGATTTTTTTAACTTTTTGAATAGCACTTTTCTGACTTTGTATTCCTCTGCTATAGCACTTTCAGTAAGAGAATTCGCCTTGTTTAGTTCTGAGATGACTTATTCAGGTATCTTAGCCATGGGAGCGACACGCACGCGATTTGAGGGTGGAGAGTCGTAAGTACGCACCTACGAGTTAAGTACTGTACCGGGTTCAATTTGCCTACTTAAGCAGGAGGTGACTGTACAATGTTAACTAATATGGTGTATGTTTCATTTTCTGTGTAAAAAACATCTTACAAAAATTTTCTTCTGCATAACTCATGTGATTAATTCAATTGTCATATTTTTTAAAAATGTGATTATAATAGATTTTTTTAAAAAATTCTAATAAAAATAGAAATTTTAAAGAAATTATAGTATGTATTACTACGTTTGAGTGACATAAATACAAGAAAAATTCTAAATTTAAATTTTTTCGTCACTTCAATTGATAAATTACTAACTTGAAGTCGTGATTATTTTTCTATGCATAACAAGTAAGGAAGTAGTTTATAGTTTCTAATAATTTGAGTTAGGTTAATCAAAATTAATTTCATTAATTACCTTAAATTATACTCACACTATATAAAACAGTTCACCAAATTTCTTAGTGATACAATTAGGATTTAATCTAACTAAAAGTTGAAATGTTCATGTGAATGTAATGCTCACGTCTGAAATTAGTATATCTTGTGAAGAGTATCTCTATGCGCATGGTTTTTATGTTGAATTTTTAACAAAATCCATGTAATTTTTGTAAGCAAAAATTGAATAATAATCTTTAAATTTCAAGAATTTTTTGTTTTAATAACAATATTCAAGCTCTTGTATAATAGATACAATATATTGCTAAATTTTTGATTATTTTTTAGTTTTTACTCAAAATAATCAATTTTGTGGAATTGGAGTTAGAGCCACTCATTACATATTGATGAAAAGGCACGATTTTTTCATCAAATAATCATAGAGATTTTTTGAATTTGAAGTGGAAAAGGTTTATTTCACTCTATTGAAAAAAAATTTGCTTTGATTTCCTAAAATCTTAGTGATTTTTTCTATCAATTTCTGCTCCTGCATACATAAGCTTGACGGACTCTATGAGATAATTGTTTTGGCCTAAATTTTGTTGAATTTTGTCAAGAATTCACAAAGCTATGGACGTTTAAAGTTTGGGGCCAAGCTTGATTATGGTTATTGTACGGTGATGCGGCAGATCACCCGGATCTAGCAAGGCCAAAAAAAAGTATTCACGTGCAACTCCACGGGGGATAATGCCCCTTGTGAAAAATCTTGGCAAAAAAGGAAAAAAATATGAAGAGCTTGATTTTTGGCAATTTTGAAAGATTTGACCAGACAAAATATTTTTGTTTGAGCTCAAATATTGCAATGTAATTCTCGGGCAAGTTGAGCACACGGATTAAAGACAATTTTGAAAACGTACATCTTAAGAATTTGTGGCCCTAAAGATTACCTTGGGAGGTCCGAATTCAAACTTTTAGTTATCCAGTCTGCAATTCATAACATTTTACTTGGAGTTGATATTGACAAACCGTTTTCACATTCCAGTGAATTACCTTGTGAGCTACGCGAAGGTGGACTCAAATTTTAATCTTGAAAATTTCATTCTTTTGGGAATATTTTTGAGGTTAAGTTGTGGAAGTAGAGACAGAATGTTTGCTAACTTCTGGAGGAATGAGCGATTTGAACGATATAGAAAGCAACTCAAGACCATGAGGAGAAGAAGGAGACAATACTAGCCGACCTCAGCTTGCTTTTCAGGAGTAAAAGCAACCAATAGCAATGAGTAAGCTTGGAGTTCCACGATTTGAGGTGAAAAAATTTAATGGACCGAATGACTATATCTTGTGTGAACGACAAGTCACTAGTGTACTTGTTGCTATGAGTTTAGACATGATGTTTAAATCACAACCTGACGACGTAGATGATGATGATTAGAATCACATTCAATATCAGACTATGAGTATTGTGATATTGTATCTCAAGCCAAATGTCTTCAAGTAATTAGAGATGACACCAATTATATCAGATTTGTTTGCAACATTGCGTGATAAGTACCATAAGAAGAATTTTTAAATCGGATGCACACTGCTTTGAACCTCACCAGCTTCAGGATGGCAGAAGATGCTAAGATCTAAGATCATATAGTTGTTTTCAATGTTTTGATTCTGGACTTGAGAACCTTGGAGAATATTAGATCGATGAGCAATAAACGATTAAGTTATTGAGTTCTTTGGTGACCTCATACCAGTTCTTATCTTGGTTGTTATCTCATTGTGACAAGAAAAACATCACATACAATGAAGTTGTTACTGCTTTATTGATCGAGTACATGCAACAGAAGCGGTTTGTTTCTATGTATTTCTCTTCCAATCAATTCACTTCATTGTCTACTGCCTTGAAAGTTTTTCTTGGTAAGACGCCTTCTTAGTAAAAAAGACAATGAAAATTTCAAGACCAAGTCTAGGTTTAAATATAAATCTAGAGATGATAAAAACATCAAATGCCAGAAATGTGGCAGATCTGACACATTCGTAAAGATTGTGGTAGTGAGGCAACCAGTGAATCCTCGATACGCGTGGCTGTAACTGAGATTTTGATTATGCACTTTGTATTCCATCCATGTTAGGAATGATAAATGGATTTTAGATTCAGCTTGCTCTTACCACATTTGTCACGTTAAGAAATTCTTTAATTCTTAAACTCATGATACAATTTTTATGGAAAATGATCAGTACTGCAAAAATGTTGTCATTGGAGTTATGAAGATTAAAATGTTTGATGATGAGATCCATACCTTGATCAACGTATGGCACATCTCTAGTATGTGTTAGATTTTCATCTCACTTGGAAAATTGAACTTGAAAGTATTGAAATGGATCATTGACAATGAAATTTTGAGTGTTATAGATGATTTCCACGTTCTCATGAATAGTTCAAGGTTGAAAAATCTATATATCTTGTTGAGTTACAACGATCTTTGGAAAGACACATATTAGTACATTTGCTTATTTGATTTCTCATTTGTGGCATAAGAGATAAAACCACATGAGTGAAACGGATTTGACAATTTTACACAAATAAAGTTTATTGCCCGGAATGAGGCAATGCAAGCTTAAATTTTGTGAGCATTGTGTATTTGAAAAACAGGAGAGGGATTTGCATTCGGTGTTGAAGTGCATAGCTCACAAGAAATTCTTGATTACATTCATTTTGATGTGTGGTGTATTTTTCCTTGTTCCTCACACTATAGAAAGGTATACTACATAACCTTGATGAATGACTATTCAAGATTTGTGTAAAATTTTCTCATGCAACAGAGATTTAAGATCTTTGAGATTTTCAAGAATTGGAATACTCTAGTTGAGATCGTTTCACTCTTGTGGTTTTATCTTTAATTCTTTTGCAAAAAGAAGCAAATTATATGTCATCTTATCACACCATATAGTCTGGAGCAAAATGATGTGTCTCAGAGACTAAATCGCACATTATTGGAGCACTCTCAAAGTATGTTGAAGCTTGTTGATTTACCACTTACATTTTGAGCTGAAGCTGTGAATACCGCAACTTACTTGATAAATTTGTCTCTTAATAGCTCCATCAATTTCAATACACCATTTGAATTGTGGTACAAACGGTTAGATGATTACTCTATGTTGAGGAATTTTTGGTTTGCATGCTTATGCTCTTAGTCCAAAAAGTACCAAGCTTGATATTAAAGCCCAAAAATGTTTACCTATTAGTTATCAAAGAGCAGTAAAGAGTCAAAGGTTGTGGGATGTTAATGCCTGCAAACTCATTGTAAATAAAAGATATTTCATTCAATAAAACTAGATCATTAAATGAGTAAAAGAAAGTGCACAAGAACAAGACTCTTATCCTTGAGTCTTGACACTGTTGAGGGGAAGATTGATATTCACGTCATTGATGATGAGCCACAAGGAAAGGTTTCACTTGTTGTAGAACAAGAGGAGCTGATTGTTGGTGAATCACATTTAGAACCAGCACAGATTGATCAAGAGGAATCTTCATCAAGGTGGACTGCAGTGAAGCATCAAGCTCTGTCTAGTTATCAAGCGGAATCTTCATCAAGATAGCAATTTGTGGATTGCAGTTGAACATCAAGCTTAGGCTAGTTATCAAGTGAAATCTTCATCAAGTCGGCTATTGCAGAGTGTAGTTGAACATCAAGCTCAGGCTAGTTATCAAGCAAAATCTTCATCAAGGCGGCAATTGCGGAGTGCAGTTGAACATCAAGCTTAGCATATTTATCAAGTGAAATGTTCATCCAGACGGCAATTGTAGAGTGCA